CAGTCCTTCCATTTGCTGGGCCCAGGGCTCTAATCCTAAACTGTAGATCTGCCACCTAAAGAAAGGCTGGGAAACATTACTAATATTATTTCCACTAATTTTTTAAATTTATCTATATGATATGTGGGGGGAGTTGCCTTCATATGTGTCTGTGAACCACATATATGTGTGCTCTGTGCTGTCAGAGGCCAGAAGAGGACATTGGATCCCCTGGGATTTAAATTATACACAGTTATGAGTCACTTACGTGGGTGCTGGTCATTAAACCCAAATCCTGTGCAAGAGCAAACAGTAATCTTAATCACTGAGCCATCTCTCCAGCCTCCCAGTTGATACTTTATTAAACAATTCATGCAAGGCAATATCAAAAACTCATTTCAGCTAGAAACTGCCTTATAAGACCAAAGTACCATCATGTTCATTTACATCTTAGGAAAGGCAAGAAGATAAAGCAGCTGACCCAAGGTCACACAGCCAATGGCCAACAGCGCCAGGCCTACAGCTCTGCTCTTCTGGATCTGGATCCTTCACCCTGATTCCCTACCTTATGGCTTCCAAACTTGGGCTTCAAACAGACCTAAGTCTCATTTCTCTTTCAACTATTCTTAATCATGCAGACCTTTTCTCCCTCTGGATTGTATATAATTCACCACTGTTTACCCCTTTAGTTTGATGGAAAAATCAATGATCTCAGGCACATCATTTCTCAAGAATTTGATCCTCAGGTACTTACCAATGAGATGAGCCTTTACTATCTCCAGGCTGTAGGGTGAGAAAGAAACAACTGTCTACACTTACAGTCAAATAGGCACATAAGGAACATCAAACACTACCCTGGACATGAAGGGATTCCCTCTAGAAAAAGAGGCCCTGAAGAATTTCTTCCACAAGTACAAACTCTTCAGAAAGGCATATGCAACTGTCACTATATATTTTCCACAGCTGTGTGCCAGCAGTCACTCTGGGTGACCGTTGCTTTGTTTTGTGAGGAGTTCATGAAGTGAATTGAAGCCTGGATCATTGACTTCCAGGCTTATCTGCCTCCTGCCAACTGTGCAGCAAGAAACAGGCTCTCACACTTGTGATGCAATGCTTTAGAAGGCCAAACGATATTGAGTAAGAAGTTCAGGAGGACTCCCATGCTCAAGTTCAGCAGTCTTCACAGGAAACTTTATGATACCACAGTATGGAATCTATTGCCTGTGAAGTTTTCCAGTGAGGACTTAAAAGTATACCTTTCTTCCACTAAGAAAAATAAAAATCAGGTATGACTGAGATAGAGAGAATAAGAGAGGGGTAGGGGGATCCCTATAAAGGAACGCAAACACTGAACACTTAGGAGCTCAACATTATAGACACCTAGTATTTTTCAAAATATATTAAAATACATAAAAATTAAATATAAAATCATTGTTAGTACAAAAAGAAGCATTAATTTATAATTAATATCTTGCAGATTATACCTTAAGAGTTTAATGAATCCAATGAGGCAATAATAAAATGATTTTGTTGCTGATATTTATTAAGTACCTAGTGAGTGCCTGACACTCAAGTGTGCTTATTTGTGTTAATACCACTATGGACTGATTGTGATGATCTACTTGACTTTATATCTTAGGAATAGAGACCTAAGGAAACCAGTCCCTGAACTGTGTAAAGTAATGCAGTCTTTACTCTTTCGATGAAGTTTGAATGAATTGATACAGTTTTACTAGGAAATGCTAGTAACACATTGCTCAATGTTCATTACATATTTTCTTCTTGTTGGGTACCACTGATCAAAGGCAAATCCACACCACTGAAAGATGGAGATTAGAGTTAGAAAAATACAGGAATTTCTACAGTTACAGGCAAATAATGAAAAAGGAGACCACAAATAAAGCAATACTGTAGACACATTAAAAATATGTCAAAAGAATATATTCAATAGCTTTGGGAAATGACCATGATAGAGTTTTAAATGAGATGCTGTTTTTAAAATAGGCAGCTCCACACTGAAATGTGAAAGAGACCAGGCATCCCAAAACCCTGCCTTCATGATGAAATTTTAAATTGTATGTTAGCAGCTGGAGAGATAGCTAAGGCATTAAGAGCACTGACTGTTTTTCCGGAGGACCAGGGTCCAATTTCCAGCACAAACATGGTGGCTCATACCTATCTAAAACAACACTCTCTTCTTAAATCTATATATATATATATATATATATGTAAATTCTAGACTTGGAGGTAGTACCATTTAAATGTTTTCTTGTTTGTTTTTTGTGTGGGGGTTTGTTTCGTTTTGATTTTTGCTTTTGTGCTTTTGTCTTTTCAGAGATTTTGGTTTTGTTTTATTTTTGAGACAAGGTCTCACTATGTAACCCTCGCTGCCCTAGAATACAGAGTGTAGATCAGGCTGTCCTCAAATTCAGAGATCCATCTGTCTCGGCCTCCAAGGAGCTGAGATCAAAGGCATGAGTCACCATGCCGGGCCCATGCTAAACACAGGCCAATGGGATGTACCATTCCAATGTAATCATGTATTGGCATGCCTCAAGACACAATCTCACAACTCTAAGTTCAGACTAGAGTGAGGGGGAAAGGGGCACCTGAGGATTCAAGAATTGGAAGCAGAGGAAGGGTGAGATCAGATCTCCCACACACTTTCATAGCCCCGGATCACCTGCACTCTGATCAAAAGGGTCAGCTCTACCATGTGCCCCAACTAGGTGCAGAACCCACTCCCTCGGTGCTACAGCTGGTGAGCAGCAGGATCAGCTCCCCGACTCTTGTGATTCCAGCACCAGTTTTTCCTGCATGCAATAGGTGACTAGAGGCAAGGGACAATGGGCAAGGGGTTATCTCTCCCTCACCCACACCACTGTGTGATAGACTGTGAGTCTAGCTCTCCCACTCTCACGTCTTCAGGGCCGGCTCACCCATACCCCAGCCAGCAGGGCCAGCTCCACTCTGCTGTACTGAAGAGGTACAGGGCCCACTCTCCCGAATGTCGCAGTTGGTGAGGGGCAGAACCAGGTCTCCCTAGTTCTGTAGCCAGGCCAACTCTGTGCAGCCTTATTCTCATTGCTTTCGGTGGTAACAAGGGCCATGGACATCAACACAGACCACGACTGGGGCAGGTTCACAGACCTACACATGGCCCCTGGCAGCAGCCCAGGCCCAGACAATGTCATGGCCCCAGGTGGTAGCACAGGCTATTTAGATCTGTGTGGCCCCCACAGAGGTTCAATGTGCCCCTTAATGGCACTATGGGCCATGGACAACAATACAGACCCCAACTGTGATTGGACCATGGGCTTAGACAAGGTCCTTGGCAACAGCCTGAACCCAGATGTTACCCTGGCTCTGGTTGATAGTGCAGGCCTCTCAGGCATGGAGCCAACAGCAGAGTGACCTTTGAACCAATCGCCACATGGTCCCCAGGAATGGGTCCAGATCCCAGGCGTCTGCACAGCTTTCGATGGCAGCAGGATCCTTGAACATCATCACTGACCCTGGCTGCAGCAGAGCCATGGACCAATACATGGCCCCAGTTGGCCCCTACAATGTCCTGGCCCTGGGTGGCAGCACATGTCACTCAGGTCTGTATGGGCCCAGCAGCAGCACAGCCCTCAAGCACCAAGAAGGTCACAAGGGGAGGCCCAGATTCTGGGCATCAGTGTGGCCCATAAACTCATGTAGTCAGATTTTTCTTTGGGCAGTCAACTCACAAATAATGACACAGAGACTTATTAATTATGTAATCTTAGCCTTAGCTTAGGCTTTTTCCCAACTAGCTCTTATAATTTAACTAATCTATTTTTTTAATCTATGTTCTATGACGTGGTGTTACCTCTCTTGTACCTCCTGTTTTCTCTTCCTGTCTCTTGGCATCCCTTGCCATCCTAGGTTCATCTTTGTTGTCCTTTCTCTCTGCCTGGAAGTCCCACCTATCTCTCCTGCCGAGCTATTGACCATTCAGCTTTTTATTACACCAGTCACAGCAGCACATCTTCACACAGTGTGTAAGTATTCCACAACATTTCCCCCTGTGTGTCTAAATAAAAAAGAAAGGTTTTAACTCTAACTTAGTAAAACTATATGCAATAAGAACAATTATCAAGTAAGGATTACATTCACAGTTTCCAGTCTTTTGTATTTGGCACATTTGGAAAATTATTCTATTTTCTATTCTATCTTGGTGAATTCAACATTTTATACCTAAACAATTTTTTATCACCACTTATATTACTACACTAAAGCTATCTTTTTAGACCTTAAAACATTTTCTTAGATAAAAAGTTTCAGCTCTTATGGCTCTCAACCTTATATATTTTACACCTCTTTGTGAATTTCTTTTCTGAATTTGGTAACAAGGGAAACTGTTAACTATAATTATCTCATCTTCAACCCTGTCAGAGACCTGAGAAGGACATATTACCTCAGTAAACATAAAGTGGAGAGCAAACAACTTCCAAAACTATAAAATGACAGACTCAGTTGGCTGCTTGGATTGTCAACCAAGTTTCCTCTGCAACTTTGGGGCATCCACCTTTGGCCTACAGGCTTAGAATATATGATATACTTTTGTGTGAAGCAAGAAATTTGAAGGAGGACTGTCCTGCTTTGTCTTGGGAAAGTTCAGCTGTTGCCCTCTTTTGTATCCTGTTTGTCCAATTTGGACAGTATATTCGAGGCAAGGGAAGTTTCTTGTCCAGTGGCTAACTTTGCCACAATGAAAGCAAACTCCATATGGAGGGTCTTTAATGCCTGTCATCCTTCTTTGAAGTAAATTGGTGCTGCCAGGAGCAGATGTGTTTCACTGTCATGAAAAGTCTTACATTATTAAAACATTTTAAATGCCATATTCTATAGGTCTTTGCTGTGGGATGGTCTGTATGTCAAATCTGTTGCTCTGATTGGTCAATAAATAAAACACTGATTGGCCAGTGGCCAGGCAGGAAGTAGGTGGCCAGGCAGGAAGTAGTTGGGACAAGGAGAGAAGAGAATTCTGGGAAGCAGAAGGCTGAGGCAGAGAGACACAGCCAGCCGCCGCCATGACCAGCAGCATGTGAAGACGCCGGTAAGCCACCAGCCACGTGGCAAGGTATAGATTTATGGAAATGGATTAATTGAAGCTATAAGAACAGCTAGCAAGAAGCCTGCCATGGCCATACAGTTTGTAAGCAATATAAGTCTCTGTGTTTACTTGGTTGGGTCTGAGCGACTGTGGGACTGGCGAGTGACAAAGATTTGCCCTGACTGTGGGCAAGGCAGGAAAACTCTAGCTACAGGTCTTTGAAGTGTTTGAAGGACATTATCTATTTAAAATATATCTTTGTTTGATGTTGAAAACAAACCTAACATGACTTTAAGTTTGATTGTTATAGATGACTAACTACTAACCTACCTTTTTTTATTATCTTAGATAGCTTTCAAGGACTAAAACTTTACATTTTTAAATGAGATGTATAGGTACAATACCTTAAGCAAGAATAGAAACATACATACAGTATAACAAAAATAACCTTAAATTGTATCAATATACAAAAATTCATACCAATGTAAAATATTTGAAACTAGTGGTTATTCAACTGTAGATTCAACAAGCCACCCTTTTATCCCATCATTTCTATAATATACCACCCCTTCTTTTTCCCTTCAGAAAGAGATCCCTGAATGTAATCTCCTTTTTCCAGCTTTTTTCCTGACCATGACCAATAACAACTTGTAATCAACCCCCTTAAATGATGATAAATATCCATAATTCATAGAACAACCAAAATCCACCCACCCCAACACTTGGTGTTATGTTCTCTAGATTGCTTCCTGTTGTCAATGGATGGTAGCATCTTCAGGGGACCCTGAGAAAATTGGGATTATGGTCAAGTCCTGGAGGGCTAGCTGTTGCCCAGGCTCAGTGTGTTGGGAAAGTGAAGGGCTTATTCTAACTGGATATTCTGTGAGGCTGGACCATCTTGATCAGCATCCTTGAAGTTATTCCGAATGCAGAATTTTGAGGAAACTGCAATAGAGACACTCTGAGAAGCTGGATCACCCGGGCTACTTGTCTTTATTGGTGTCTGGGTCTTTTTTTTTTCTGAAAATGTCCAAATTTTTAAAGGTAACATATTCATCTGCATTAACCCAAGTATGGAATATGTGGTATGCACAAGTCAGCCAAAGATGATTTTTGTTCTGTTTGAGCAGGTAAAAGGCATCTGTCAATTTTATAAGTCTGTTTGGGCTGTATAACCAAACTTCTATCCATATCACATGAAAGGATGGCATGTAATAATAAGTCATGAGAAGTCTCTAGCCAACAAGATTTATCAAGTTTCATCCAGTCTCAAAGCTGTTCCCACAGTAGAGGGATCAACATATACATCACCAGTCCTATAGTCTTTTTTTTTATGTATGTAGTCAATATTTTCAGAAGGTCTCTCTCAATTAAATCTGTTCTTCATTAATTTTGAAGAGAACTGTAATTTTTTTGTTTCCTGCAGAAACAAAGGAATAACTCCTCCCCCGATACAACATATTTTCTGTCTTCCATTTTGAAGTTAAGATATTCTTAAAATATATAGGTCAGTTTAACTTAGCAGTTTCCATAATCCAATATCTTTCAGCAGCTATTGTTTTTTATACATTAGCATTTAAAATTTTAAAGTCAACAAAACACCATAAAGGTTTCTGACATCCTATGTATTTCCCAACTTTATATTGCTTATTCTTTTTTTTATATTATTTTACTCTCTCTTTGAAGGCCTTACTTTATTATTTTTAAACTACTTTTCAATGACTGTTTATACCCATGTTCTTTTCTTTCTTTAGCATCTAAGCACATGTATAGACATACTGTACCTTTTTAGAGGTTTTCTGTGTCTAGACCTGGCTTTCCTAAGCACCTGCAGCATTCTCTGACTACATGAGACAAATCTTAAGCTTCCATGTCAGCCACCATGCAGCTCAGTCTAGAGCATGGTACTGGCAGCTGGCTCCAGCCCACAGGCAGTGGCTGGGAACTGCATCTCTGTATGCCGCTGGGCACTAGCCTGCCTAAGAGACTGCAGGACTAGAAATCCACATCTGGCTGCTTGTCCAGAACTTTTCTTAGCTTTCTCAGGTTCTGTGTTGGGATATTTGAGCCACATTGTATGCCATACATAGTTGGATTTTTCTTTGGGCCACCAGTTCACAAATAATGACACAGAGACTTATTATTAATTATAAAATCTTGGCCTTAGCTTAGGCTTTTTTCCAACTAGCTCTTATAATTTAATTAACCCATATTTTTTTCTTTTTAAATTTTTTTAAATTTATTTTTCTATTATCAGCTTGATACAGTATAAATTCTTATCCTAATAGTGAAGTGTTTCATTGAAGTTTGCCCAGTAATTGAGTAAAACAAAACTTATTATAAGCCACAGTCATCCTAGGGCCACCCCTGCTATGTAGCCTCCCTGGTTCTGTGGGTTGCAGTCTGATTGTTCTTTGCTTTATATCTAGAATCCACTTATGAGTGAGTACATACCATGACTGTCTTTCTGGGTTTGGGTTACCTCACTCAGGATGATTTTTTTCTAGTTCCATCCTTTGCCTGCAAATTTCATGCTTTCATTGTTTTTCTCTGCTGAGTAGTACTCCATTGTATATATGTACCACATTTTTTTCATCCATTCTTCCATTGACGGGCATCTAGGTTGTTTCCAGGTTCTGGCTATTACAAATAGTGCTGCTATGAACATAGCTGAGCATGTATCTTTATGGTATGAATCAGCATTCCTTGGGTATATGCCCAAGAGTGGGATGGCTGGGTCTTGAGGTAGTTTGATTCCTAATTTTCTGAGAAATCGCCATACTGATTTCCACAGTGGTTGTACAAGTTTACATTCCCACCAACAGTGGAGGAGTGTTCCCTTTGCTCCACATCCTCTCCAACATTGACTGTCATTGGTGTTTTTGATCATAGCCATTCTGACAGGTGTAAGGTGGTATCTCAGAGTCATTTTGATTTGCATTTCTCTGATGATGTTCTATCACATGGTGTTGCCTCTCTTTCATTTTGTACCTCCTGTTTCCTTTCCTTGACTCCTGACATCTCTTGCACTCCTAGATTCCTCATTGTTGTCCTTTCTCTCTGTCCAGAAGCCCCACCTATCACTCCTGCTGAGCTATTGGCCATTCAGCTTTTTATTACACCAGTCACAGCAATACATCTTCACACAGTGTACAGATATTCCATAACAGACTCAAGCCATCGTAGGACCACAGACCCAGAAATGGTCCTTGGTAACATGTTCATTATGGTTGTAGCTGACATTTCAGATTGCCCAGATCTGCAGAGAGTGGGAGAGAGAGAGATGACCTTCCCCTCCCCTGCCACTTGCCACCTGTGGCAGGTGGGAGAGCTGGCCCTGAGGTCATGAGAGTGGGAGAACTGATATTTCCCCCCATTGGCAGCAGCACTCAGGAGAACAGGCTCTGCGCCTGGCCTAGGCAGCACAATAGAGCCAATCCTGTTGTCAGGGGTGCAGATGAGCTGGCCAGGGAGGCATAGAGCAGGAAGACTGACCCTCCTCCACACACACACCACCAAGTCTGCCATGTGGTGGTGGCATGGGTGAGGGAAAAAATGCCTTCCCTCCCCTCCCTGCTTGCCACCTGGGGTAGGTAAGAGAGCTTTTGTTTGGATTTTTGGTTTTTGTCTTTTACTTTTAAATTTTGTTTTGTGGGGAGGTTACAAGGGCAGAGGGTGGAAGCAGGGGACAGGCAGATGAGTGGGATTGGGATGCATTATGTGAAATCCACAAATGATCAATAAAAAGTAAAAAAAAAGAATTGGAAGTGTCATTGTCCCATGGGAGTTATTCCTTGGTTTGTCAACAGCAGCAGACATCATCTGAGAATTGTCTCAAAATTAAAGAAATTAGGATATGCTGAACCCACAGCTTTTTATTTCAAATGTATAAAATACAACTTAAAGGTCATTTGGCGATCTGCATGATTTATAGTCGCACACTTGGAATAGACACAGAGGCAGCAGACACAGGCTCAAGGGTGGAGGCCTGTTTGTCAGGGTTTGGGAGTCTTACCTGAGGGCCATTGTTTGCCTGTATATAGTATTCATTTATTCAACTGAAACTTTTCCAAACCAAAAGGTTTCTAGAAACCTAGTCTGGTTTCCAGGGGAGAATTATTATTGTGCAGGCTCTATGCAACTTTCTATTTCATTTCTTCTTATATTTGTTGTATATTAATAATAGAACAGTAATATCAGAGTTCAGGAAGGTTTTGAAAAGGACAAGTGCAAGCCTTCTACGCAGAGCTCTAGCTGCAACCAGAGGGGAAAGAATTGGCCAGGACAAATCTCTTTTAGAACTCCAGGGACCAGGCAATCCTAGGCAAACACTACATGAAAAGTTTTATAGAAATAGGTGGCCATTGTTCAAAAGGCTGCAGCAGTAAGGGAAACACACCCCGGTCTATGATCTGGAGTCACGTTCTTCCCTCTTCCTATAGCTGACTGCTTGTTTTGCTTCTCATTATCCAAATTCACCATTTTTTTTCTGGTCTTTAATAAGATTCCATTATGTTTCTGGCAAATCATTTGTGCTAATAATTTCCAGCTCAGGATTTCTCTATGGCCTTGTGTGAACGATGGTGCGTTGCCTTGCTAAAAGTCTATTTGCTAGATGGTAATTTTGGTTCAAGAAGAAGTAGCATTTTGTAAAGCAGATGGTGGGTAATAATTCATCACACCTTGGAAGTTTCAGTGCTGCTGTTGTTGCTGGAATGAAAACCAGGTGCATTAGACAGCTGTTCCAGTGCTATTTGCCATTGTTTGAGGTGATATAAAACTTTTCTCTCTTGTCTGATTAAATTTATTTTTTTCCATTTCTTTAACCAAATTTGCAGTTCCCCAAAGACTCAATGACTGGAGGACAGCATGTTCTTATAAGGTAAGTTTATACATACAGGCATACATACATACATACATACACACATACCTATGTGCATACATATTCCTTGTACCACAGAAATTATTGAATAATTTATGATAACTTTTTCACTTATGTGCTTTGCTAGATCAAATTCACACCTTAGAGATATATTTCCAAAGTAGACATTTTGACTCATCAAGTAAGAATAAGACTAGAAAAGACTAGAAATTTTGTTTGCAAATGAAAAAAAAAGTCATGTAAAGCCGGGCAGACTGGTGCAGGGTGCATGGATGATTCCCAGCCTGGAAAGCTGTTGGCAAAGTCAATTCCTCAAAGCAGTCACACTGTTTTGCTTTATGCATGTTCAGTTATGCAGAAATTTGGTCTTAAAGGTTCTATTTTCTTGACCTTCTTCAGGTAGCCTGCATGGCACACCATATGGGAAAGAGGTGAACTAAAGGTTCTAGTCTAAGAAATATGTACCCCAAAAAGCAAATCCAGAAGGCAGGTAACCTCCAGAACGATGCCTTGACAGTGAGAAAGCACAGGAGCCAGCATGACAAGATGAAGAGCTAAGAAGGTACATATCACAACTCAGTTTCATTCTGTCCGTGGAAAACTCTTATGAGTCTAGAATTCAAATGTGAAGATTAAGTCACAGCTCTGCAGAGAACACACACACTCTCTCTCTCTCTGAGAATGCAAACCACTCACCCGCTCTTTAGTATAAACAAAGAGTTTTAAGGCATGGAAAGGAGCATCCACAGCAAAAAGCCGAGCTCCACTCCTGTCTCTGAAGAGCTTCGTGGGGGCGCGTTACACAATGTCTCCCAGTGGAATCGGGCTCCGGTTGACTACACTGCTGAACTGGTCAATATTTGGCCCTGTGTTTGCTTTTCATATCTCGGATCCCTCCTCTGTTGTCAGGGCTTTGTGGGAACATCCCCAAGGAGCCACAGGGACAAGTCCTTATCCCAGTGTTTGCTTCTTCAGGAACTCAGCCTAAGACCAATGTGTTGAATGCTCATGAGTTTTTCAGAAGTATAAGAACACCGATTTCCAAGTTTTCCTTGATGGGAGGCAATTAGGAAGGCAAAGTAGTTTCAAACTCAGTCTAAGGACTGAATGAACTCTAGACTTCGAGAAGGGGACACGTGGGGAAGAGGGAGGTCAACCCCATGTGCGTTAACCATTATTTTCTTCGGGCAATGGAAAGTAGCCACAACCTTTCTTGTACAAATGAACAGAACTCTATTTCCCCACCATTCTGGTAGCTAAATAACTGGAATCCGGATGCTATCAGAGTATTTCCTCTAAAGGCTCTAAGGAAGGGAATTTCCTTGTCTTTTCTTATCTTTAAAAGTTTGTCCGCAATCCTTGGCATTCCTTGGCTTATGGTCCTGCATCTTCAGTCTGTTTCATCTCTGTGTCTTTCCATGATCTCTTATTAGGACCCTATTACTAGATTCAGAGACACCCCTCTACCAAGTATGACCTCATCGTAACTTCATTATGTCGTCAATGTAATCAAGACTATTTCCAAATAAAATCACATTCATAGGGTCCAGGAGAGAGGAGTTGAGCATTTGTGGGGGACACAGTTCCACCCGTAACTTGCTACAGAAGCTGACCTTACAGACAAAACAAGATAGTAGCTCTCTCTCTCCCTGCTCATTCATGAACCCCAACTACAAGGAAGACAACAACCAGGACAGTAACTACCACAGAGATCCTGAGAGCGAGGATGAGAATTTTTAAATAGATTCCTGTGGAGAATACATTGAGTGACTGCCTTGGAACCCTACTGTCCTATTTTATGGGAGCAGCAGGGGTGATAGAAAAAAAAAAGCCTTCTTTAGACAAAATGAGGGCCCAAAGCTGTAGCTGAATCTGAATTTGTATCATTATACAAATTATCTGGAATAAGAATATAAAAATAGTTTACATTTGTATTAATATACAATAATCCATAACAGTGCAATTTATCTAAGGCTGATATTTTACTGAATTAGTTTACTAGTATATACAATAATCTACCTTAATATCCTCTACCTATTCGTTCCTCTTTTTTTCTTTTCCTAAGGGGAGTACAGAGTCCAATGTTTTCTTCCACCCCCAACCCTATAACCGTTATCTATAACCCTCCGAAACGTGAAACCTTTGGGAAAAGGGGGCATCATTTTCTTAGAATTTGATACAAAACTTTAGACTCACAAATAGAGAATAGACAGAATATTTTCTTTAATTTTTCCAAATACAAATAGACTAGATATTGTAACTGTAATTCTTGCTTGGAAACTGTTCTATTATATTTATTTTACTATGTTAACATTAAAACCTTCTTCTTTGATTAGACAGAAAAGGGAAAGTGCTGTGGAATGTCGTTCTGTATGTTGTGAATGTGTGTTGCTCTGATTGGTTGATGAATAAAATGCTGATTAGCCAGTAACCAGGTAGGAAGTATAGGTGGGATAAGCAGACAAGGAGAATTCTGGAAAGAGGAAGGCAGAGTCAGGAGTCTCCAGCCAGACACAGAGGAAGCAAGATGACAAGGCAGAACTGAGAAAAAGTACCAAGCCATGTGGCTAAACATAGTTAAGAATTAGGTATTAATTTAAGTGTAAGAGCTAGTCAGTAATAAGTCTGAGCTAATAGCCGAGCAGTTTTAATTAATATAAGCCTGTGTATGTTTATTTGGGTCTGAGCAGCTGTGGACGGGGTGGGACACAGGAAAACTTCCAGCTGCACAAAGCAGCGTTCGTTGCATCTAGACACACAGTCCCTGCCAGTAGAAGAATCCTACTCTTTTAGCACTAAGAAATATAACCAGCCAGGAAGAAAATAACTACCTGACATTTCACTCTTGGTCTATTGTATCTCAGAGTGCCCCTGCTAAATGGAATCCCTGTCTCATCTCTACAAGCACACATGGCTTCCAAGTAAGGTATTCCCCAGGTCTGGAGCTTCAACCATACACATTTTTAAAAGAAAATATCGCTAGGTTCTTGAGTTATTCCCAAGTATAACATTGTCCTTGAGCACATTTCCAGCTTCTTGGTAGCACTGTCTCTTTGGTTGCTGGTCAGGAGGCAGGGGAAAGGAGAAGGAGAGACTATTGAGCAACCATGAGAGCAAAATGCCCATCACTAATTATCCGAGAGCTCAAAGATTCAGCATCCTGATTAGCACAGGCCTGGCAGAAGCACAGAGTGAGACAGGGCATTTATTCCTCAGTTACAGAGCAGAGGACTGCTGCCTGCCTCCCAGATGTATAAGGAGAAGCATTTCAACTTCAGTGCTTCTCGAACACAAGCCTGATTTAAAAGACAAAGCAGGGCCCACTTGGGGTCTAAGAACAGCACCAAAATGCTCTGAGGGCAAGGTGCTCCTGACTTTTTTCAGCTTCTATGTCTTAACCCAATTAGCAAGTGCTTGCTGAGCTAAAAACAAAAAGGAGTATACAAGATTGCACACGCAGAACTGTCTCAACCCCCTTAAAAATATATACAAGTAAGGAAAGGACACACACTTGTGGTGATATTTTATTTGTGCTTTAATAAATAAAGTTTGCCTGGAGATCAGAGGAAAAAGCAAGCCATTATAAGTAAAAAAAAGAAGTCAGGCAACAGTAGCACACGCCTTTAATCCTATCACTTGGCAGGCAGGAATCTGTCTGCATCTCTGTGAGTTCAAGGACACACTGGAAACAGAGCCAGGTATGGTGGCACACAACTTAAATTCCAACAGTAGTTAACCATGGAGTTCTGGAGGTCTGTACAGACAGAAAGAAAGTAACAGAGCTGGGCAGGAAGAGGAAGTGATGTAGCTGGACAGAGAGCAAATCAGATAGCAGAATAGCAAGGCATATAGGTGTGGGTAGACAGGTAGTATCTCGCATTTGGAAGCTGCAGAATTGGTGAGGTAAGGTTAGCTGTGGCTTTCCCTAATTCCATGATCTCTCAGATTTTCATCCCTATATCTTGCTCGGTGTTTTTTATTTAATAAGACGGTTTAGCAATTCATTTACACGCACTAAGTTACAAAGGCAGCAGTTTTTCATAATTGTAAATGCACTATTATTTTATCTAATTTTATGTTTTTCAAGTTTTCTACAACGAGCATAGATGGGCAGTAATGCCTCATTAATAGCTTACTAAGTGCTGGATACTTAAGATGAACACAATATAATGGGAAGCAAAACAATACAAAGTATCAATTAATTCCGAAAAGGAAAAATAATTTATATGGAAAGTGTTATCTCCACTAGATGATTTACTTGATTGCTTATTTGATATCTACTAGTCAGAAGTCAGACCCAAGTCTGCATCATTACATTATCTTTCCCATGAATTAGTTTTATAATTAGAGAAGAAGCCATACTAATGTTAGCATGTGAGATATCATACAAACAGTAGAAGCAACTGTTAAATAACAAATAACACATAAAATTAATTGAGATATTCAGAGAGAATAAAAGTCTATAAAACATTTTATCTTGGATTTTCTCATCACAAGCTGCCCAATATCTTTTCAGTATAAAAATGCAGTTCACCTGCCTCATTCTGTATTTTGATATAGAGTACCTGGAGGGTGGACAGGCTCTGTGGTTGATGGAGGTAGGGCCACCCCAGGGATCTGAGGAAAGGTGTACATCCACTCTGAGGGCCTCATGAGGTAACTTGGTCCTTTTGAGAACCCATGTTTTCATTTGTTCCTTCTGTCCATTAATTCAACAAATACTTAATTTGTACCTAATATATCAGGCATTATGTTAGGCCAGGCAGGTAAGTGTAATAAACAGAACGGGCACAGTGTCAGTGCTCACAGAGCTCATTGTCTCCCCTGTGACTGAGGACTTCAGTAGGCTGTTGAAGAAGCTTTGTGACTTGCACAGGGCAAGCCACCTGACATTGTACTTAACCACACAGACAGTGCTTACTACCTTTAACCATTGGTATAAAATGGAGTTTATCTTATCTTACTTGAACAGGTGTGAATGCTAACCTCTATAACCTTTAATGATTCATTGACTACAGTCCAGAAAATACACTGATATTATTAAACTTATTTAATTAATTGTAATTTAATTACAACACTTCTTCTTTCTCTTTCTTCCCTCCAAACCCTCCTATCAACTCCCCAGTCAGTCTCCTTCAAATTCATTGTGTCTTTTCTTTGCCATTGCATGCATACATTATTGGTATATACAAATACACTCCTAAATAAAACACATTGAGTTCACGTAATGGTATTTGTATGTATGTTTTCAGGGATAACCATTTGCAATGGACAACCAATTGGTGTGCTCTTCCTTGGGGAGGAGCACCTCTCACACTCCCAGTTTTCCTCAGATGCTTTTAGTTCTTTGTATAGGGCTGAGGCTTCATGGGCTTTTCTCCAGCTATTCTGGCATGTTCATAGATGTCCTCCTTGTTCAGCTCACATTTGGGCAATTGTGTTGATGAGACTTCATGATCATAGCTTCTGATGTTACTAGAAGACCCAGTCTAACCAGGAAAATACACTGATTCTTAAAAGAATCTTGAGAGAACAGGATATGAGGAGACAAGTTGAGTTTCAGATTGGGATAACCCAGTTACATTTCAGCTGTTTGATTGTTAGCTGTCAAAATTCAAATTTGTATATGATGCCTCCATATAAAAATGATAACTCCCTAGACAAGTCAGAAGAATATTTATCTAGGCAGATTCTTGTGACTTACAATGTTGGGTGAATCCCATGACTTTAGAAGTGAAGGAAAAAGCATAGAGAGAGCTGTGTTTAGCAAGTTCCTCCTTTTAAAATCTTGCAGATACATGTCTTGACTTCTATGTAAAACAAATTTCTTGTCTAGCCAGTAATTTGACCACATTCACTCCATGCAACAGGGACTTTTGTTGCTTTCTGATGCAGCTCATTTCTGTCTTTTCAAAGCAAATACACTTCAGAGCTCCTCTTATATTGAGCTGAAATCTGCCCTCTCTGGTAATCACTGCTGGCTCCAGTTTCATGCTTTGGTTAAATTAGTTAATCTATTTCTCTTCTGTATAAGAGCTCTTCAAATATTCAGGCTCCTTTATTTCTCCCTCTTTTCCTATTCACCAAGTTTTCTTTCTGTAAACAAAATAATCTTGTTTTTCTACTGTTGTCTGAATTACACTGTTATGAATCCTCAGCCTCTTTTTACTCAGTTCCGATAACCAAAGGTTCATTTGTTTGTATCATTTGTGAAAGATCCAAAAACAATAGTACAGGTGTGGTCTAAAGGAGTTCATAGATGAATCTCACTATCACTATTTTTGTCTAGACATTATGCCTTCGTTTGTATAGATCATTAGCAGATTTGCTACTTTACCCCCACTCCTTCATGCTGCTGACTCACATAGTTTTTTCTGTAATAACAATGAGGCAGCTAGATCTTTTAAAAGTGTGCTATGACGAAGTTACATGTTCAACATGCTGTTCCTGCTCCTCATTTCTGTGACTTGTTCCACATTAAGCTGTGCCTCTTAGAGTGGAAAGGCTGATCTCTACTGATTTATGTTAATGGGTTCTTTTCCTTCTCAATTCCTTTCCATCCCAAGTCACTGAGCAAAACACTAGCCAAACAGAAAAGACAATAGAATTAGATGTTCTTCACTGATCCTGTAAAGTTGTTTCGGGGTTGACATCAGTCCACAAACTGGCAACCAGTAAGCAGGATCAATGGGACTAACCAAGCATTCGATTCTGTGACCCTGTGATTCCAGAAGGCATGTGTAAGCTTTGATGGCACACACAAATGCCTGTCTGTTCGATTTCCCACTTCCCTAGTTTGGGAGCCTGTTGCTTTTGACTGTCGTCTTTTATAGGGCAAGTGATGTCTCTAGTCTCTTTACTCTCTTCCTTTCCCAAAAAGAACTGCTCTACATACATACTCTGCATACATACAGCTGCTGACATCTGTGACTTTTGTGTTCCACAAACAAGGCCAGCATCATGCATTGTGCAACCTGCGTGCAGGGCCCAGGCTCATATGGCATCACCCTAAGGCTGCCACCACTACCTTGAAACCCGTAATAGTCATCCTTATGTAATTTGTAATTGATATAAGTGGAATCAGGCACTAAGCAGTAAATAAAAAAAATATTGTATCAAGTCAAAATGGAGAAGAAAAATAACTTCATATTTAGGTTCCTTCCGTTTGAACAAAGGGCTCCATATTTTCATTCTGCATTGACTCCACAAATAAGGTAGCTGGCCCAGAACTGGTGCCACATGCTAAGCTGAGCACTGCTGCTGCTGCTCTCTGTTACATTGATGGGTTCACACTCCCATCACTTCCACCCACCATCTCCAAAACGCCACACTGCATCAGGTCATCTTTGTTCACTCTTCGTTCTAGATGGTAAAGGCAGACTTCCAAAGGAAGTTTAAAGTGGCAAGTCTCGTAGAACCCTGTAAAAGTTACGGAAATTATAAACTGTTTTACTATTCCCCATAGCAACCATACCAACATCATGTCAATCAAGGCCAGTACTACAACTGGCGGTGTCTTCCACTACCAGCTTTGTGGATGATTTATATTATTTTAAAACCCTAGAGAGAAGTAAGAAGGAAACAACTGCTCAGGAGAGCATCGTGGTTGTGGGTAGGGAGTTAAGCAGAATCCAGCACGCTTATGTATCAGCATGGGGGAGGGGAGGGGCTGACAAGGCTCCACCCCTAGCTAAAGAGTTATTAATAATTATTTTTCTTTAGGGGTGTGGCCACTAGTAGGTTTACCCATGCTCTACTGGATGTCCACACCCCTGGACATATAGGCAGCACTAATTGAACTTGGTGGACTGTTCCTAAAAACAAAAGGATATGAATCTGGCAGGTGGATGTGAAGGGAGGATCTTGGGTAAGTTGGAGGGGAAGTTGGGATGGAGTATAATCAAAATATGCTCCATGTACATGGAATTTTTAAAGAATAAATTCAAGTGCTATTTAAAAACAAGAATGATCTCACGTACCATAGATAATATCACATTGTACATTTCTAAAGGTTAGAAGGATTTTAAAAGTTTTTACCTCAAAAGAAAATATGGCCGGGCGGTGGTGGCGCACGCCTTTAATCCCAGCACTCGGGAGGCAGAGCCAGGTGGATCTCTGTGAGTTTGAGGCCAGCCTGGACTACCAAGTGAGTCCCAGGAAAGGCGCAAAGCTACACAGAGAAACCCTGTCTCGAAAAACCAAAAAAAAGAAAAAGAAAAAGAAAATATGAGTGTTTGAGACAATAACTATGTTTAATGTGACTTAAGCATCATACAGCGATCATTGAGATGGCTCAGAGTCTAATGGCTTGACACCAAGTTTGATGACCTTAATTCTATCCTCAGGACCCACATGGTGGAGAGAACTGATGTCTACAAGATGTCCTCTGACCTAAGCACATACACACTATGATGATATATGCACACTCATATACACATACACAAAACACACAGTGAAAATACGTTTTTATTTATAAAAATATATTTATTAAAAATATATAATTCTTTAAAAAGTTTAAACCTCATACATCACATACATGTGTCAGAACAATTCATGGCACCCCATTCTCACCTATGATTTTTAGATTTTAGTGAATCAGCAAAGTATTTTTAAAATTAAATAATAAATTTAAATTAAGATATTTTTAAAAAGAATGATCTCACAGTTTTTTGGTTTCCATGGCAGTAAAGATATAAAAAGGTTTACAATTCTTGTGGAACTCTCTTGAGGATTATCCTGAATGTCCATTCCTGTTGGCCAGGTTTTTTAAATCCCTGCAGATCTGAAGGAGATTAAAAGTTATAGGGCACAGATGAGATTTATGTGACAGCCTCATGCATCATTTTTCACACCTCAGTGACCTTAGTCCCCAGAATGCTATTTTTTTGTTACGAGCATCAACACTGGAGAATTTAACAGGTTGTCTTTATTTTGCTTATTTCTCCAAAATCCTGCTCTACAAACTTTCTGGCCTTTCAACTACAGAAATTATTTCTCAGGGATATATAAAGGTGTCAATGTTACCAGGCGGTCTGATGATACATGGCACACTTCTTGCTAGAGCAAAGGCCATGGGGAAGGTATTACTTTGAATCAAACACTGACATGAGGCCAAAAATCATTCTTTTGTGGTCTAGGTTACAGATGTGCAGGCTGATGTGGCACTGCATGTATGAACCGGACGTTACACATAAAGAGAGCCAAGCCAGGCAAATTTAAGGACTGGAAGGACCTTGTTGAACTGTTTTCACATTGTCTAACCTGGAACTGTAAACTGAAGACACCGTGAGTATGCTTGGATGTTAAGAGAAAGAATAAAAGGGCACACTCTTTTCTCATTTGATGGATTCTCTCTCAGTCATCACAGTCTGCAGGAAGCTTCTGTGGTCTCAATCCTAACTGTCATCACTGTGCCCAACATACTCCACACCACCGCTAAGACCGCCGCCTCTACCCACTCAGCGCATCCCAAACACCATTACTGTGACCACCACCACCCACAGACACCTACTAGTACCCCAAAATAAAACGCCTTTCCTGTAGTAAAGGTTCAGCAGATGCTTGAAGAATAAATGAACAAACCTAAAATTAGAAATGGCCTCCCAAAATGTTTGCAATGTGGGATTGTCTTCTTTGTAATAAATCACTGGTGCTCAGCTTCATTCTTTCCAGTACTAAGGAACACTTAAGGAAGAACATACTGAATGACACTCGGTGACCAGAAAGAGGAAACGTGCTTAATTCCCAAAAGCAATTTCCAGGCTGGACTTACTCACGGGAAAAATATGGTTTAGTGTTTTGTAGGGCCGCAGGATAGGGAGCAGTAACTCCAGTCAGTGGGCCTTGTCTTCCCAGACTGAGCAATCGATGCCCAGCGGGAGTCACCTATCGGAAGCCAGTGCTGAAACTGTTGTAAAGAAATCTTACTCTGCCGTTACTTTTATTTACGACACAGATAGGTTTCTACAGATGGCAATTCTATGCATGGAAATTCATATCTGACTCTAACACGGGTTGTTAAACTCCTCACAAACTATCTCTGAACAATTCCAGGGGAAATGAAGTCATTTTCTTGATTTTTAAAGTTTCTCTCTTTTTGTGTGGGGTACTTGCATGAACTTTAAAAAGAGTAGAATGAACATGAAAATGAGAAAGTGATAGCAACAAGAGATTGGAAGAAGAAAAGAACAAAATATTGAAACATATGTTCAGAAACACAACATCACATCAGTCACTGTTACCAAAACTCCAAGGGATTTCCAGTCTATAACTTCTAATGTGAAACTTTGTAGCTAGAGTTTTCCTGCCTTGCCCACAGTCAAGACGAATTTTTGTCACCCGCCAGTCCTACAGGTACTCAGACCCAACCAAGTAAACACAGAGACTTATATTGCTTACAAACTGTATGGCCATGGCAGGCTTCTTGCTAACTGTTCTTATATCTTAAATTAATCCATTTCCATAAATCTATACCTTGCCACATGGCTCGTGGCTCACCGGCGTCTTCAAATGCTGCTTGTCCTGGCGGCGGCTGGCAGTGACTCCTTCTGCCTTCCTGTTCTTTCCTTTCTCCTCTCTGTTAGTCCCGCCTATACTTCCTGCCTAGCCACTGGCCAATCAGTATTTTATTTATTGACCAATCAGAGCAACACATTTGCCATACAGAACATCCCACAGCAAAACTCTTTCTAAGTGGTTCTAATTCTGCTACTAACACCAGGATGTTGATGATGTGACTTGAATCCTCTATCACCTCTGAAGTTCAAGGTGCTAGCCAGGCACAGTGGAGCACGCCTTTAATACCTACACTCCAGAGGCAAAGGCCAGTGGATCTCTGAGTTCAAGGCCAGTTTGGCTTACAGAGTGAGTTCAAGGACAGCCAAGGCTACACAGAGAAACCCTGTCCCAACTCCCATCCCCTGCCAAAGATTCTGGTGTTATTTATCCCGAGGTAAATATTCAAGATCTTTTCATGTTCTTCAATATTATAAAATTCTATAAATGTTTGTTGTTTTGTTATATTTTATATTTCTTCCTCTTTCTCAATTAGAAGGCTAAATTCCATGCCAGGAGGGTGGGACAACAGATGCATGTCTCCTCGGGGATCTCGGAGGCATTCCTATTTAAACTTACACTGTGTGAGAGAAGCTGCTTTATTCTGCTGCCAAATTCAAGAAGACTTATGGGCACAATAACTATGTTTGGATTTTAAGGCCTTTATTAATCAAATCTCCCCAGGGTTGCATGTTGATCTCATAGTAATAATTCACTACCCTACAGCAAAGGGAAAATAAGACAAACAGACCAAGTTACATGTTGCCCGGCCATTGATGGCACCTTTAATGTGCATGCCCCAGAGAAAGGGCAAAAATAGTTCAGGAATATCCATCCATGTACTTACCAGCCAGAATTCATCAAGGAAGAATAATCTACCCTCTCCCATTCCAGCCCTCCTGCACTTCCAGAAAAAGAGGATGGAAGAGAAAGAGGAGGAATGGTAGGTTTTTGTTTTCATATTAAGAATTACATACACTGGATAACCAAGCCTCTGTTTTCTTTATTCACTATACTTTTGCTTTTTATATTAATATTAATTTAACTTTTTAAGTTCCACCCTGTTAGAGCTCCCTTCTCCCTCATCTTCTTCTGCCAATAAGAACTGAGAAGAGTAATATATCCTAGAAGTCAGACGCCCAGGAAACATGTCAGGAAACGACACAAATGACCTGTGGATCTTGGCTGATGAAGGAAGATGTCTGCTGTGGGAGGACCGGGCAATATGACTATCTACTTCTCATTTGGGAATTGACTTATATATTTGCTCCTTTGAAATTAACTTTCGGAAGTATATTAAGTAATTTGAAGCCCTTAAGTATAGAATTCAGGACATGACACTTAAAATTGTATCATTAGTACAAACAATAGTGATAAAGAAATTGTGGAAGTGTCATCAGAGGAAGATATACTCTTTAACAAGTTCTCATACTGATAACTGCTAGTCACCATATCTATTTTTCAGTGAGATATTGGGGACGGAATTTAGAGCCTCTTGCATACTGGACACATGTGGTACCACTGGACTAGACTTCCAGGCCACTCAGGACAATTTTTTTGTACTGGAAAGATATGAATTCATCCAGAATATTAATGGAATTGTGACCGCCTCACTTACTTTAAAAGAAGGGATATTTTTCAATCTTATTTCCCAATGTGAACTAAGAATCCCTTGAAGATCTCCCATGGAATTAATCCAGCACAAACCTAGTGGAATGCTGAATACCAGCTCTCCAAATGAAAATCCCTCATTTGCAATATTTACCCATTTCTATGCTGTAAGTGCTCCTACTGTGGTTAATTTCAAGCTACCAATGGTGTGGCAGCTAGCTTGCAAAATACCTAATAATTTAGCAGTTGGCTGTAAGCCAGTGTGCGCTCCCACAAGTGGACTACAGCATTTCAGCTTTGTAGGATTAGGCAGCCTAAGGTTTCGTTTCAGAAAGTAAACATCTTCATTTAAGAAACTTTTGGTCTAGTCACAGACTCCAAATCTCATTCGTCTTCAGTGCCACATGCTGACTCCATCAAAATACTACCAAAACAGCCTCTCAAAAAGGCAAAGTTGAGTGTTTTGCTCACGACAGTAAGGGGAGCAGATGGCCTTTGAAAAAGCTGTAGCAGTGTCCTGGATAGAGGACAGCAAAGGCATGCCATTCAGGAGATTCGCAGAGAATCTGGTCTCAGCCAGTTTTCATTTTATTTATTGTTTAAGAAGTTCATACATGTATACAATATATTTAAATATTAGCCACCCACCACCACCTCCCCTCAACTCCCAGGACACACCAACCTGTTTCCCTCCCAGCTCCACAGTCCAGTTTTTATTAAGATTGTTTTTGTTGTTAGTATTATTATTAATAACCCCTGAGTCTACTTGGTGCTGGGCATGTGAGAATAAGGGCGGGTCTATCTATTTACTAGAGCATGAGCAACCTAACCATGGCCACATCCCCAAAGAAAGGTAACTTTTCCCCCTTTGACAGCCATCAACTACCAATGGCTACTCAGCTAGGGACTGGCTGGGCCTCTAGAGCCCATCCTCCATCCATACTGGTGTGGTGATACTGTGTTCCCAAAAATATTGTGCACCCTAATAAACTTATCTGGGATCAGAAAGCAGAACAGCCACTAGATACAGAGGCCAGAAAATGGTGGCACACATGCCTTTAATCCTAGCTTTCAGAAGGCAGAGATCCATCCTGATCTCTGTGAGTTCAAAGCCACACTGGAAACAGGCAGGCATGATGACTCATGCCTTTAATCCCAGGAAGTGATGGCAGAAAGCAGAAAGGTATATAAGGCATGAGGACCAGGAACTAGAGCCTGGTTAAGCTTTTAGGCTTTTAGCAGCAGTTCAGCTGAGATTCATTCTGGATGAGGACTCAGAGACTTCCAGTCTGAGGAAACAAGATCAGCTGAGGAATTGGCAAGGTGAGGTAGCTGTGGCCTGTTCTGTTTCTCTGACCTTTCAGTGTTCACCCCAATACCTGACTCCAGGTTTGTTTTTATTAATAAGACCTTCTAACATACTGGAATTTTTACTGTCTTCACTGGCTTGATCTTGTGCAAGCCACAGCTGCCTTAAGCTGATGTGTGTATCAGCCATGTCATGGCCAGAAGAGAGCATTTCACAACACTCTTCCCCATCTTCTGACTCTTATAGTGGTCTGACCTTCTATGATAATCCCTGAACCTTAGAAGAGGCTAATTGATATAGATGATATGTCTATGACTGAGCATTGACAGTTACTCATTCTCAGCATCTTGATCCAAGCAGCATGGTGTTGGAAGTAGAGTGGTGAGCACAGCTACCTTCCAAGTTTGGTTGCTGGTTTATGATAAATAGGAACTGGAGATAGACCAAACTTTTTATATTACTTCTTTTATTTTGAGAGTATAATAATGTCATTACCCTCTTCCCTTTCCTCCCTCAGGATCCTCCTATATACCCCGTCTTGCTCTCTTTCAAATTCATGGCCTCTTTTTTCATTATTATTATTATTATTGTTACATGTGGACATGTATAGGCATTACATAAATATTCCTAAATACACTGTGGAGGGGGTAGAAGATAAATACAGAAGAAAGAGAGAGGAAGGTAAAAACAGTAAAGGTGTCTGGAGAAGTCATAAGGAATCACACTATAAACGGCAAACCTAAAAAATACCCAATAATACACTCAGGTCTGTGTATAAATACACATATGTAGTTTAAATGAAATGTTCCCATCTGAGCTGGCAATGCTCCCCACAAGAGGCAAAGACCATACAGCAAAAACCGTGACACCAGAAGCCATTTTCTAAGTTGTTGGTCAGGACTGTCTGAGAGACACCCAAATGTTATAGACTACTGCCTTGTCATTGGTTGTCATCCAGCGGTGGAAGGTAAGTCTTTATGGCTGAAGACATTAAACCAAGGTTTTTACATGATAGTTTAGGATAAGTAAATGCAGTAAAGAAAAGGTTTCAAGATAAATCTTGAAAAATATATACTTATTTGATGCTATTATCCTGAAAGGGGATATTTATCCTGATGAAAGTCAATTGAGCAGTCTTGTTTTCAGATCAATGGGTCGAGGGAAAGTTCATAAAACTATGAAGTTGCTTATAACTTTATC